TACCAATGCATTAAATTTTTTTGAGAAAATTAACCATTTCTGTCTTCTAACGGCCACATGTTAAAGTAACAAACTTCAAATATTATAGCTTGGTCGCTCAAAAATAGCTCTTTTCAACTAGCTCAAGTTTGTTAAAATCTGCTCAGCCGTTTCGAAGATACTGGGTGGTTTTACGGAAACCTTTGAGCACCCCCCACCACTTTATTTTTAGACATACAGCAAAAATTGTCAAACAAAGTAGGTTCAGATTATCCTCGAATTTAAAGATCGTTTTTTTTTTTGTTAGGTTAATAAAGCGTCGCTCGTTGATGAGATGCAGGGCGTTAAAGTTTAATTGTCAAAATAATTTTCTCTCTATTTACTGTTTTTGTGAAATCAACATCAAAATAGAGAACCGAGGATTTGTGGGGATGACAACTTTTTTTCGTTTTTATGCTGAATTCCTTAAAATAGTGCACAATTATCGTTATACATTTTTTTATCGATATAATAAAAGTTCTGTAATGGATGCTTCATCGAAGAAATAAGTAGTTTGTACAAACAACTACAAAAAAATTACTTGCCCACTAAACACATATAAGATATGTTGCCGAAATGGCCGTTCGGGTTTTTAAAAGAAAAATATTTTAACTTTACAAAACTGACTACAAATGTAACTTGAAATGTCTTACAATGAATAAAATATACAACACGACGAACAAACGAGGAATCTGCGGAAAACATGAAAAACCTCTATTTATTACTTCGGGCTTTGATGCTTTCCTCAGCATTTTATTCCACCACGTGCATCTTCTGCTGCATCATAACTCCTCCCCATCTAGTTTGAAAACAGAATAGGAATGTATCCTGTTTTCAGGAAGTTTTCTTCTTTTTGCGTCTTTCTTGGGCCTCTCGTCACTGGATTCGGGATTTTCTTCATCCTTCTTGTCTTGGGATAGATAATTTTTCTTCTGAATTTGTTTTCTCCAAATATACCAAAAGGTTACTGCTACTGTAACAGGCAGAAAAATAGTATAAACCGAGCTGCTAGAAAACCAAATTAAGGGATCAATAGCGGCTTCTTCTTGCATTTGAAGAAAATTTGCTTTCTCTTGCATTTCTTTGATCTTACCGAAGTAAATAGTTTTGAGGCTTAGAGCTTTCTTGGACACAAAGTTCGATCTTCCAGAATTTTATTTCTCAAAGGACCAAAGGGTTTCCTTTAATTTGATCCTCCTTGCTCCAAAACTTGGATGAGTTGATTTGTACTCCACAATTTTCGAATATCTCGACAAAACTTGGCGTTTCTAAAAGAAGTGGTTGTTGAGTACCACACAACTTGACTGCTGTGATCGGCTGGTCAGCGGGAATGGCCAAAATGTGTTTTGCTGATATCGCTTCATCAATAGGGCTGGATACTTGTAACCTCGTGAATTGGCATAGACAACCTTGGATGGGTTCTTGTCGATTCTTGCAGAAGTAGACATTTTCAATTTCCGGACATTCTTCTTCTTCAAATTGCGGATGACTTGTTCCAAAGGGATGGGTTGGAATAATGGTTGAGTTTCTCATAGGAACTGGGTATAGACGGAAAAATTGGAATTTTTCATTAGATAATATAGGAAATCTTATAGAAATGATTTTATTATCAAAAAATGTAATTTGTGGATCAACGACTAAATAGTATGATTGTAAATTTTGAAAATTGTGTACTTTCCTTTTACCATATAATTTTACTAAATGCTTTATTTTTCTCTAAGTCTGAAACTGTTATGGTAGAACTATGTAAGAAACATTGAAGGTATTCCTACGTTTCTGACGAATACGTGGAACAATGTTATCTAACTTTTTTGTTAATTCCTCTGTGACAAGTCTTCGTCTCATGATGATGAGAAATTAATTTTTTTTGTCTCTCTTTCTGTGAAACATCTCTAACAAACTGATTGGAAAAATAAAGTTTTTATGCGTGGTTTTTGAAATATATAGGTAGTATTTTGCTAATCTGGATATCTAAATCTTTAATTTCTGAACCTTTGACAAAAATGCAACATAGTTTGTTTGGATCAACTTTATGATTTCTGCCTCTATGTTATCGCTAAGCTGTAACTGTAATTTATTAACATTTTCGAAGGGCTTGGTCCTTGCAATATGATATCGATAAGATGATTTTTGTTCAATAATTATCTGATAAGAAAATTTGTTAGTAACATATTCAGTGAAGGGTATCTCTAATATGGGGTTTTCTACTGCCGTATGGACTGTAATACTGTCATCACGTGGCTGGGGATTTTGTTAGAGCTATCAGGTACTTCAGGGGTGACAATTTCTTCTAGTTCTTGTGAGTCTTCAATATTTATTTCGGGGTTATCGCCGTCTTGCAGATACCGAAGAATATCTTCATCAGAATTTCCAGGATTTGCAATCATTGATTGATCCGTTTCATCTTGGATGGCATTCAGTTCTACGCGAGATAAAGCATCGACATTTCTATTTACTTTTCCAGGTTTATATTGAATTTTGTAATTGAGCTGTTCAAGAAACAGTTTGCAACGTAAAAGTCTGGGGTTATGTTCTTCCATGTTGAACAAATATTCGAGGGGTTTGTGGTCGCTAACTATGGTAAATTCACGTCCCCATAGATATGGTTTGAAGTATTTCACACCATATACGACTGCTAATAATAATATATAATTCTTTTCCTATTGTACTTTAATTACATTCTGCTGTATTTAGAGTTCGTGATGCATAGGCAATCGGTCGATCCTGTCCTACTTTTCCTTGACTAAGAATACAACCTGATGCGTAATTTGAGGCATAAGTAGTCAAAATAAAGGGTTTTTCAAAATCTGGGTACTGTAAAATAGGTTCTTTGGTTAGAATATTTTTGCAAGTTTCAAAGGCTTTGATAAATTCTGCGGTATGTTCACTTTTGACTCCTTTCTCAAGACATTTCGTAAGTGGTTTTGTTAATTTGGCAAAGTTTTCGATAAAGCGTCTATAATAACCTAAAGGATCTAGGACGGATTTGATTTCTTTGAATGTTTTTAGAATTGGGAATTGTGCTATCGCTTGTATCTTTTTGGGATTTGGTTCTACACTATCCCAAGTAACTACATGCCCTAAATATTCAACTTCTTTGTGTGAAAATTCACATTTGTTGTTCAATTTTCAATTGTGTGTCCCTTAATCTCCGAAATACTAATTTTCAAATTTGCAATATGTTCTTCAAGACTAGTGGAAAAAATTATAATATCGTCCATACACACTAGACAAACTTTGCCTTGTAGTCCTTGTAAAAGATTGTCAACGACTCTCTGAAATGTACTTGGGTTATTTTTCAAACCTTATGGTAAGCGAGTATACTGTCCATGTTCAACAATAAAGGCGGTTTTTTCTATAGAATTTGGATGCATCTCTATTTGGTGAAATCCGGCAGCCAAATCTAAAGCACTGAAGTATTGACATCTACCTAGCTTGTCCAATATATCGTTAATATTAGGTAATGGATATCGACCACTTATTGTTTTTTCGTTAAGCTTTCGAAAATCTGTCACTATTCTGAATTTTTGTTTCCCACTAGCATCCATCTTCTTAGTAACGGTCCAGGTAGGTGAGCTATAAGGACTTTCACTAGGACATATGATTCCATCGTCTAACATTTTATTTATCTGTCTTTGAATTTCCTCTTTGTGAACAAAAGGATAACGATAATTTTTTGTATGTACTGGAATATCATCAGTAGTTTTTATTTCATGTTTAATAATATTAGTGAACGTTAACTTTTCGTTTTCATTGTAAAATATATCCCTAAACTCATGGCAAACTTTTAATAGAGCCTGTTTTTCTTCACTGTTCAAATGATCAGTCCTAATTAATTTCGATACTTCCTGTATGCTTTCGTCATTATGTTTTAGTTCACCAATAATATCCTCAATATGAAAAATATAAAAGTTATCACTAACCGGTCACGATGTCGAGAATTTTCGGAAAACTGCGTTAAATCCTACTGGGGTCTTTAAAAAAATTTTATTTGAACTTTACAAGACTGACTACAAATTAATATAACTTGAAATATTTTACAATGAATAAAATGTACAATAAGACGAACAAACGAGGAATCTGCGGAAAGCATGAAAAACTTCTCTTTATTACTTCGGGCTTTGATGCTTTCCTCGACATTATCTTCTTCCACGTGCATCTTCTTCTGCGTCATAACTTATATATAAATATTACCTAAATTTTATATTTCTCATTTGTTACATGAGCCATTTATTCCATTCCATTCAACTGACCAATAAATAAAACCACAGAATTGATGATTCTCTTACCTCGGTAGTCTTCTTCAAAGTGCCAAATATGAAAAAATTGGAATATAATTTTTTTCCAGAAGAAATTCCTTCTATATTTTATTAACGGATTAGAAAAGAGTACCAAGATATCCGAAATGTTGCTCAACTTTTTCCCGTCAATTCAGTGGTGTGATTCATTGATCACTTGAATGAAATAGAATTAACAGACAACCACAGGTTAATTATCAGTAATTTACTTAAAAACTGTGTCATAAATTTCTGCAAATGAAAATTACTTTTGTTATAGCATATACCATGTGTTAATTTATGTATAATAAAGGTAGATTCACATTAGTAACTTAGATAAGTTTCAAACAAAATATATAATAATAGCAAATTATGTTAGAAGACAGAATTCGAAATTTAATCTAACAAAACATGTTATTATTCTTATTGTTATAACATATCCTACATAATCCTTACATCGTAAGGTACGGAGTTACCACACTCAGAATCATAAAGGTTGCATAAATATGACATCGGTGTATTCAAGTCTACTTAATATCTATATAACAAAAAGGATGCAAGCATATAATTGCAGGGTATAAAAGTGATGTTCATGTAACACGCGGGTCTAGTGAGTATTATCTTTTTCGGAGTAAATCATCTTTTTAACCTGCTTGACTCCGACGAGGACCGTTTACAAATACTAAGCTCTTGTCTTGTTCAAAGGATAGCCCAACCCATAGTGTTGGGCCAGCTGATCTCCTTCTACACACCTGGCCAGCAAGAAATTACGCAGGAAGAGGCGTACTACTATGCAGCAGGGGTTGTGCTTTGTTCTTTGATGAATATTCTCATCGCCCATCCATACATGATGGGCATGCTGCACCTTGGAATGAAATTGAGAGTCGCCTGTTGTTCGCTGATCTACAGAAAATCTTTGAAGCTGAGCAAGACTGCGCTCAGAGACACTACCGCAGGACAGGTGGTGAATTTGCTCTCGAATGACGTAAACAGGTAAAGCACAATACCCAATAAATTATGGTTATTATCATTGTAGATTGTAGGCGCTCTTACTTGGTAAAACTCTTTGATCGTGGATCGTGTGATCAAATAGTGCCATTTGTGGTGAAAGCTTAAGGCACTTTTGTTTGAAAAGCATCTTGACATGCAGGCTACCAAAATTTATATATGCGAACTAGAATAAGTACAAAACTAATTGATTCTCACAATGCGTCTCCACACGTCAGCCTTCTTTCGTAAATGCCTCACATTATTCTCTATAACGCACTTCCATGAGCCATAAAAGAGTTAAATTTTGAAAACTTTGGAAAACCTATTAAACCGCTTATTTTGGATGAGTAGGAGAACTGAAGGCATAATGGACCAGTTAAGGAAAATCTTTTATTTTCATAAGAAATAAAATATTTGTTTCCATATATTATCAACAGTACAAGAAAAAATATATGTTCTTTCCGAATTATAACTGAAAATTTATTTACATATATGAATATTTATTTCATAAATGTAGCAAAAATAATTTAGAACACTATTGGGCCATTTTGCCCTCATATGAAGGTAAAATGGTACCCTAAAGGAGGCAAAATAGCCCTGGCTGCAAACCATTCAAATCTAAAAAATTTCTTAACTAATATTACAAAAAAAGTAAAAAGACTTTATTTCTTACTTGAATATAGAATCATTTGGAAGTCAATTGAGTCATTTTGCCTACATAAAAATACCATGACAATGTTTAATAAATTGGACCATGCTGTAAACCTTTTAAATAAAAAAATAACTTAAATATTACTCTAAATGAACAAAAACTAAAAATAATTATTACGTACATATTCTAATAAGTTTTTAGGCCTTGCACAAATCACAAACAAACGTAGCTTCTTCATCGTCATCATCGACTCCCGCACAAGAACAGTGTGCCCAGCCTTGACATAAACTGCATCGGATCCATCCTTCTGTAGATTATGAGAACCAGTGTGGACAAAACAAACACTCAACATCTTCATCTTCAGAAGATGAAACATCATTTTTAATTTGCTTACATTTTCGCATTTAGGCTTTTTTTGTTGAATCACTTTGGTCGAAACTGCACTGAGGTCGCATAAGCTTGTGCCATTTGAGGTCTGGCGATGATGTTAATATAGCCGTCTTACCTCTCTTTCTGGATGATCTTTGTATTTGTTTTGTTTTTGGTAGAGGAATAATTTCTAAAGGTGATACAAGAAAGCTGGATTCTTTATTAGAGCTTTGTTTTTGCTTAAGAAGTCGTGACACTGGTATGTCATCGTCACTACTCTCCTCCGATGTTTCGTGAAGTCTTTTAGAGCAGCCTGTTATTGCCTCAGGAAATCGTGTTAGTAAAGGTTTGTGGAGCAGCTAGTATGGGGTTTAAAATGTATTTCCTCTTCGAATTGATTTTGGAAATCTAAATCATTTTCATTTTGCAAGTTTACTTCAATGTTGGTTGTATCTGCAGGCAAAAAGTCAGCTTCTGTAAATATATCTGGATCTGTATGCCATATTCCAGTTGCTCTAAAAGCATTATGCGCAGTTGGAATTGTAGCAGCTTTTTCAAACTCTTTTCCGACCAACTCCGTAATTTGAAATTGGATTATCATTCGTCCAGGATTTGTTCGTAACCACTGCTTTGAAGCGTTTGAATAATATGACGACAAATGTTTCATAAATCCTACATCTAGCGGCTGAAGTCGATGCGTACAGTACGGAGGGAATGAAATGATATGCACACCATTCTCGCGAGCTAAATTAATGATATCCAGATTTTTAGTGTGAATAGCAAGACTGGGTTGTCCTTGGATGCTCTTGAAAAGATAATAGACTTTTCAAACCATTTTGTGAAAATATCCTTCTGTATCCAGCCACTTTCATGACATTCGGCATATGAACCTCGAGGAGCATTATTCACTAGCTCCGGCTTATTAATCGCTTTCGAGAAAACACAAACATAGGCGGCATATATGAACCAATAGCATTGAAGCAAAAAACGCTGATTACCTACCAACTGTCCTCGTTCAGCTGATGTTAGTAAACCAAATTGCTTTTTCCCCTTATTGTTTTTGGCAAACTTTTTGGAACAATGGTCATTCCTGTTTCATCTACGTTATAGATGTTATCAGGATTAACTTATATTTATCTATAATTTCTGTAAGTAAGGAAAAGATTCTTTGTACTGCTACTCTGATGAATCCGATTGCTCTTGCTGCGGAGGTTGCTTCTGGTTTACGCAAGCTAAGATCGGGATTCCTTTTCAAAAAGTTTTCAAGTCAATACCTACCAGCCATTTTCGTGTCGTTATCAAAATTGTGGGGAATTTGCTAGCTGCTTTCCTTGCTCTTCGGTAAATACACTAACGTATCGACCCAGTTGCTTAACCGTAGTAATTTCAATGTGTTCAGATTGTGCATATAATTCCACTCGACGTTTTATTACCATTACTTTTATATAAACCATTTGTATGGCTTTTTTCATAGCTTCGGCAGACCATGTTTGCCGCTGTGTTTTTGTTTTGTAGATACTGACCATCTGTAAAATTAAAATGATACAAACTATTAAATTAATTTTTGTATGAAGGCAAAATGGAACACTGCAGGAAAAACGGTCCGTTTGTCCCGGACCGTTTAGTCTTTTTGTTGTGAAAGACAAAATATAAAAATTGTAGGATTAGGTTAAAAGTAAACAGAGGATGTGATTCAAACCTCAAACATGAATAATTCCTATTATGAATTAAACTAATTTAAATATAACGTAGTATAAAAGTAGTGCAATACTAATAATGGGCAATTTTACATCACAAATCTAAAAAACGACTTACTTTGATAAAAACACCTGTTCACTGTTTCTTAGCAAATGGCTGACTGTGTCCGCTAGAGCTCATGTAATCGGGTGCTAACTACTAAAAATACGGAGAGGTGTCACTAGTAATAGCGAAAATATAGTTTTGTTCCGTTTTGCCTGCAGGGTCCGTTCTGCCTTCAGTTTCCCTATGCTTAATTAAGTTGTTTTTTGCCCTTTCACTTCACAAAATTTAATTGTTTCAACTGTGAAACTGTTATAACTCATATTTTATACACAGCTTATTAAATTTATACGACTATTACTACTTTTTTTACCATGGAAATATTCTATGTTTTGTTTTTCGGTCAAGTGTCAGAATAGCACTATGTTAAACTTTGCCCCTAATAAAGACTTTTATTGTTATTATTAATAGTCCCTGAACATAGTGCTCTATTTACCCTGTTTTTCTCTTCCCTCTATTATATTGAATTGTTTATTAGGGAAATATTTATTTCTGGTAATTCCACTCGAATTTGTGTGAGAGAGATTCCTAGTAAATACCAACCGAACCGTTTCCATCAAAAGTTCCTGAAGATATACGTTATGGTATTTGAGTTTATAACACTATACCGGGTGATTCTCCAAGGTGGCTCACACTTATAACTTTTTATTATTGAAGATAGAAGAACGAAATTTGAGGGTTACGTATTATGGATGAATTTACATTTTTTTGCATATTTACTTGCTTTGACGAACTTCCGGTTTGACCGGAAACGACTCCAACTTTCAATTTTTAAATGGAACACCCCATATATTTTCACTTATCTCGATCGAGAATGACATTCTGAACTTATCAACGCCGCACTTGTCAATATTTGACAAATAAAGTAATTTTTATTTTGCGATCTAGAATGCCATGGATACTGTAAAGCGCTTCATTTTCGATCATGTCATACGGGAAAAATACGATTTTGAAGCGAACGACCTTACAGTCGATATAACAGTTTTCTTAAAGTTACTAACACTAATTTTTCCAGTTCACTTGATTTTTTCTGATAGAAAGGGGGTGGCTCGTTAGCTTTTTCCAAAAGACCATTTTCTTACGAATAAGTTGACACTACACACTCTCCTTTTATTTTCACTATTTTTCTGAATATTTGTAAGAAACAATCATACCTAATAACAAATAATACGTATCTGCATTCGGTATATCTATGCACTAAGTCCTATTATTCTAGTTATCCATGACAAACAATTGTAGGTGTATCTAGGGTTACTTCAAGAAATACCTAGTCTAGGTTATTAAAAATACTGAGTTTTAAAAATCTGTTTGTTACGTATTTTTACAGGATCCATGGCATTCTAGTTCGAAAAATAAAAATTGAAATAAAAATGAATTTATTTGTCAGAGATTGATTGAGTGCATAATGTCATTCTCGATCGAAATAAGTAAAAACTTACCACTGAAAAATCGAAAGTTGGAGTCGTTTTTGGTCAAACCGGAAGTACGTCAAAGCAAGTGAATATGTAAAAAATGTAACGTTATCAATAATAGGCAACCCCGAAATTTCGTTTTTCTATCTTCAGTAATAAAAAAGTCAAACGTAAGGGTGCTTCGCCATTAATATAAACATCGTTACATTGTATCGTATTCAGTTTTACTATAGACTATGTAGACAAACTATGCAACTGGTAATAATACTAACATACTTTCAGGTTCGACGTAGCTGTGCTATTCGCCCATCAATTATGGGTGGGACCAATAGAAACCGTTGTGTGTACTTATTTCATGTACTTGCAAGTGGGCATTGCCGCTGCAGTTGGAGTTTTAGCTTTGATTATGTTCATCCCCATACAGTGTAAGTACTGCATGTTACGTACGGTTCCGCAGCACAAATATACAGGGTGTCCCACACAAAACTGTAGCGAACGATTACTCGTAAAATTGACGTTACACAATTAGGAAAATATGAAATAATAGGGTGTCCCAAAAAAAGAAAGTTCTTTGTTTTCAAATGCATACCCTCTAATTTTACATGAACAATGTCAAAACAATTTTAAATGAAGTTTGTACCTGGAAACAGGGCAAGCCGTACCGATTTGGGTTGGAACATGTCAAAACTTGCATATGAGTCTGTATACTAATCAAATTCAAATGAGGAAAAGTTTCATAACTCCAAAATTAGTTGCAGCATTAGATAGGTGTTAGTAAAGTAAGAGAAATGCTATTTTTGTTATTGAAGCAACCATTGAGGCACTGGGGCATAGCCCTGACGAGTTTACTATAAGCAAATCCTCCATTATAAGAACCCTAAAAGCGAAAGGAGAGCACAGAAGTTATAAAGCTTGAATTCCAAAGCAATGTACCGGATACTGTAACTGCCCACTGGGATGGCAAATTGTTGCAAAGTTATCTCTGTGCCAAAATTGGATAACTCTTCAGGCAGCGAGCAGGCTCAGGCAGTTTGAGATGCTATTAGTGCATGGAATCTTGAAGATAAAGTTCGGATTCTCTGTTATGATGCTACTTCAGATGCGGCGCATTAACGTTGCCTGTGTGCTTCTCGAACAGAAACTTAATAATAAAGGAATGCTTATTTTTGCTTGTCGCCGTCACATCTACGAATTGGTGTTAAAAGGCGTGTTTGAATTCAAGATCGACCAACTACAAGCCCTGACATTCTAATGTTTAAAAAGTTTCGCAAGAGCTCGAAATGCTGACCATCACGCTCTATGCATTCCTGAAGCCTCTCATGGTTAGACAAAACTGAAGTTTCAATTTCGGATCTCGGTATGTTACTTATTGCATTAGGAATTCGGTTTTTCATATCTTCTCTGGCTGTAGGTTGGGTCTGCAATACGATGTCCTCTTATCATCCCCATAAATAAAAATTAATACAAGTTAAGTCTAATTTCTCCCAACGGAAGCACTTATACAACTGTTGTTTAGTAACTATTAAAGGCTGTACATCTGCAACAATATTACAACTTTTATAGTACAAAATTGCTGTGCTCGGCACAACTTCACCGTAACCTAAGTTTCTGCTGTCATCTTTTTAGTTAAAATGCCATAACCCATATTTTAAGACATGTATATTGGTTTAAAACACTAGATATAGATCTGGTAAAAATTCTGGGTAAATCATTCGACTCTGTCCGTATTTTAGAGATTTGTCAAATTGTTGTATATCACTTGCAGACAACATCAAAATATTCTAATAAACCAAAGACAACATGGACGATGCCATGATTATACATAAAGCCACCTGCCATATTGGGCAAAAATATATTCCTCTATTCAAAATCAATTAATTATGTTTCAGTTCGACATTACAGATATAAAATGATAAACATTAGTGTAATTGGGTCTAAATATAGGATTTGTGGAAGATTTAACGCAGATAAGTTCAGTTTTTCATCTTAAAAATCTAAACATACTTTTGATCATTATTAAAATATGAATCAAATTGCGTGACTACTTCGCACGATAATCACAATAAAATTTGCTGCGCAAGTAATTCAATAGCCCGAAATCACCGTGTCGAAGTTTATCATATACCTGTGTATGAAATTCACAATGGCCGATATGTGAGTAAACAAGATGACTGTAATGTGTTAGTTATCGTCTATATAATACATAAGAAATAGTTTAGTTGAAATAGAGTAGAATCGTGTAACAGAATAGTTGTATAGTTGACAAAAACTGAATCTTCCACCGCCGCAAATGTTCTATAGCGGCTGCAAGAGGTTTACAATTTTGTTATATAACTGTTAGCTGCAGCCCTTATACAACTTCTTAAATGATTGTCCTATTGCCAATATTCTTACAGCATACAATGCTGTGTAAGAAAGACTGTATAATCGTTCTTGCAACTCTAATAGGAGTAATAATTGTTAGTTGGAACTTGCCTGTGGTTCTTCAAAATATTTTGAACCGTTGTTCGTGATATACCCAACTCGATGGATAATGCCGTTGTGCTATCATAAGGATTTCTTTCAATATATCCCAGTACGCGGTTAATATTTTCTTGTATTCTTCCAATTATTTGCCGTTGAAACGTATGCCGAAAACTACCATTGGCTTGTAAGCTCGCCACTCATCGGGGAAAAACTCTTGACATCGCTAAGACGCCGATTTGGACGAGTCGCGTAAACTCTTTTTGCTACTGCGGCATTATATATTCATAGTGAATATGCATTTAAACAAAAAATATGCCTTCTGTTTTTAGCATTACTTACATACCTTTTAGCGATACTTTGTAATATTTTCAAAAAGGTTGATTTTATTCCGATGAATAAGAAAGAAGTCCAGAAAAAATAGTTTTGAAAATAAAAATTTAAGGGATTTCTGTATAAAATTTTCTTTGGTCTAAATTTTTGAGTTAGGAACAAGATATCATGATGCTTGTTAAGATGTCACTTAGCTACTTTTCCATAAAAAAATCATACCAATGCATTTAATTTTTTTGAGAGAATTAACATTGGTAGCCCAAGAATAGCTCTTTTTAACCAGCCCAAGTTTGTGAACATCGGCTCAGCCGTTTCGTACATACAGGGTGCTTTTTACGGAAACCTTTGAATACCCTATTACTTTATTTTTAGAGATATAGCTAAAATTTTCAAACAAATAAATAAGTTCATATTAGCCTCGGATTTAAAGATCAGATATTTGTTTGATAGGTTGATATATATAACGGAATTCACATAAGCACCAGTTTTTTAGACTCAAGATTGCAGTAACGCCACTTTAAAAATCGGTTTCCAGGTTTTTCTCTTGGTCGTTTTAGTAAGAACTTTTTTTGTCGCAAGATGGATATGTTCCCAGATAGAGTACCTCGCATTCTTAGTTGAACAAAAACACGAGGTTATTGGTTGAACACCCTGAATAATTCTAAATACAGTATATTCGAAATGTATTCGTATTACCACTGGGTTGGTACAGGATAATCCTGAATAGTTTTTGAAAAAGCTTAATCAATAAAAAGTGGACTGCCCACCGTCCTGTATCTCGGTAAATTATTCGTGGAAAATACTTGCATCCGTGGATGCTTACATGCTTGATAAAAAAAATACCTGAAAGCCATTTTTCATGTGATTTCTGAGTGTTTTTTATTCAAACTTTGCTTACTTTTCAGTTTACTTTGGTAGGCAGATTTCAAAATTGAGAATGAGAACTGCATTGAGAACAGATGAACGAGTCCGACTTATGAACGAAATTATCTCTGGGATTCAGGTGATAAAAATGTATGCTTGGGAAAAGTCTTTCGCCAAACTGGTTCATACAGCTAGAAGGTAAGTCGGTATTAAAATTCCAATATAACCCTGAGTAATATATTTCATACCCAGACCAATAGCAATAATAAGTAACAACATACCATTCAACAAGCATTTATTGCCAAACAGTACACGATTCCATTTAGAAAGTAATACGTTGTGTAATGGTTCAATTTACACAGTCTACACTGTCTGTGTACCATAAAGTGAAAAAAAACACCAAAAAGAGAAGGGCGCTCTAAGTACAGAGAAAAGAATATGATTAATAGTCAATAGGAAAAGAGAATATATACCTATTTGATGTAATGTTCACACATAAATATACAGGGTGTCCAAGTCAAAGGTGCAAACCGCTACAAAAACTGACAAACACTTAATCTACATGCCACGAACACAGTTTTCCGGGTGCGGACAAATTTGAAAACACTGAAAATAACGCTCTCGAAAAGCCCGTGTAAGAGGCTTGCGAAGACTGTTGCAACATTGCATACCAGACGACAGACGTTTTTTATGATTTGAAGTTGGCTTTAGCTAACGAAATTTTGTAGGGCGAATGTGCCAGTAACCCGGACGCATATTCTTAAATACCCTACGCGTTATACATTCGAAATATTCCGGCTGCGCTCGAGCGTTGGGTAAATACCGGACGTATCGTGATCATACGTCTGGTATTTATCTCTTGCCTCTTAATCGTTTGATTCTGAAATTGAAGGATGTAAACTGCTTTTAGAAATCTAGATAGTAAATAAAAGAAAATAAGCGTGGTTTAAGTGACCTACATTTGAACATCAGAAGGCATAAAGAAAAGAAATACTAAGTCTCCACATTGTCTGAAAACATTTGTTGCGAAAAATATGACTTTGGGAATCAATAAGTCCAAAAAATAGAACAGCAGCAGAGGCGGTTTTTAAGCAGCACAGGTTGTTTGAGGTTAATGACTTAAGTCTGTTAAAAATGTCGTTTATAGCTATAGTAGTGGTTTTGATAGTTTTTATCTAAAAATACTTTATGATGCAGATTCGTTTATTCTATCAAAATATACTTTTTCATGTTATCAACTTATTTTCTATTATTTCGCTGTTCAGCTGCTGATTCAGAGGTATATGAAACAGAACTTGCAATCTGCTATCAATCATGAACTTGCACATTCACCTACGTAAATGACTTACTTCCAGAATTTGTGAAGTGAGTACTTACTACTAGTAGGTACTATAAAGAAATAGCACTTATTTTTTTTTCATTCCTATTTTATTACCGCAAATCCACTAATTATACGACACAGGGTATGCCCATTGTAAAGAAAACATAAAAGAACAAATGAATAACCATTTAGTTTCATTGAATTGTTATACTAGTAAATAAATGATGAATTACGTCAGGTATAATACCTATATGAATGAAGCTACTTCGAGTTGATAACGCGACGAGTACATATGTAAGTCCGATACGTCTGGTGTTAGGGAAATAATATTCGTAACTTTAAGAGGTGATTCCTTGCATTATTCTAAACAAAAGTTCATTATAACCTATGTCCGAAAATCAACCGTTTCGGAGCAAAAAATGCTGAACTTATTTCTTTTTAGTCATGAAATATATTAATTTTGCGCCTTAATAATTTAAATTCATATGCCTAATAGCGTAAAATGTATCAATACGTCTATTTATTGTTTAGCTTTCTCTAACAAAATAATTTTCTTGCTTATTAAATACAATTTTCCGAAGAAAAACAAACAAAACAAAATCCCTCACACAACTGGCAACGTCGTACTTTGCCTGCACCGCATGTATCATCGCGTGTTGTTGTGATTACTAATACATCTGTAACTTTATGTGATTTACGGATGCTGTTTTTTTTTCTTTTTTCGTGCATAGCATCGTTTCAAATAAGTGACCGATAATCGTGAGAATTGGTGATGTGTATCGCCACGTCCCGATTCTGTCATTTTTTTAAGTAAATGCACTGTACTGAAATCGTTATTAAATAGAAAATATTAGCCACAAAAAATTGCGTAAGTATTCAATAATTCAAGGCATACTTTCAACAAAAATATACAAACGTACACAATTCGATGAATTAGTTGCGGTTGTCGTGCGCTCGTATCGCGGTTGCGTTGCCAAATGTTTGAGAAAATTTAATTATTTACGACTCACTTTCCTCGAAAACGATTGATTTTCGGACATAAGTCATGATGAACTTTTTTGCTTATAATAACGCAATGAATTACCTCTTGAAGCTACGAGTATTATTTCTCTAACACCCTGCATATGAAGGTACTTCGGGCATATAACGCATCGGGTGTTTACGAATATGCAACCCCGACACTTCCAGTAATCGGACAAATATTATGTTATTGGCAAAAACTTGAATATTTGAAATCCTATACTTGCTGGTAATTGATACTACATTTATCAACTACTTTCTGATAGTTTACAAAAATTTCACATTCACACAGTTGTCATATTGACAAGCGTTAAAAACAGCGTGCATTCGATTCCTCAATTTTTGTCATTTGTGTAGTGAGTGACATAAAGCTTAAAGGCAAGCAGAATACTGACAGTAGCTGACAGTATCTGACAGTATACAGGGTGTCCAAATAGTGTGTCATAAGTTTTACTGAAGTAATCAATGGACGTACGTCGATGATTAAATCACGATGTCAGGAACATAATGACAGCAAATTTATATTATGATTTTGCGAAGTTAGGTTATTTCACTTATTATTTTTATTTTCATTTTATTTCATGGATTTGAGTGATACCTTAATAATAATTTTAGTGGGGAGTTTTTGTTTTGAAAAAAAAAACAGTAGAGTAGAATACCTTAAGACAGGAACACCAAAGACCAAAATATTCGAAAACCTAACCTGCTTTAACATAACCTAACTATTCATCTTTCAAATATGATCTATCATTCAACATGAAAACAACGTCTATCTTTGTCGGATACATACAAATTAGCAATACAGATTGTTTAGACAATAAAATTCTGTTTGTCTCTGTTTAACATATCTGAAACTTAATTAAAAATATTCACAAATTGCTGTCGTTTGTCTTTACTAGAGACTAACATGATGACGTAATAGTCATCTTTCGTGACTATATCTTCATTACTATAAGCCAACCCCTCCCCCCTCCCTCCGGGAGACTGCAGACTTTCTATCGGCCGATAGTTAATCTGGATGGGCTGCTAGTGCACACACCAAGTCAACTAAACAGTTTTATTGGTGAAGAGTGTGCAGACTAGCCAACATCCGGCCGACTCCGACTATGTTTTAACTATTTACAGATCTCCTTCAGGGAATTTTGATACCTTCTTGGAATCAATGGAGGGAATATTAACACAATTGAGTAGGAATAGGCAAATTATTCTTGCTGGGGATTTCAATGTAAGTTTCAACACATTAGATATTAATACAAGTAAATTGTGTGACCTTCTAGCTAGCTTTGGCTTAGAAAGAACAATCTTTGAACCAACTCGTGGGGACTGCTGTCTTGACAATGTTTTCCTTAGTAGTGCGATGGAGCTGTGTGGCTCTCAGGTATGTGATATTGGAATATCAGATCATAAAGGTCAGCTGGTTAAATTTCTTGGTTGTGAAACCACAGGTTTTACTCAAAATAAAAAAATGTATAGACCAGTAACACAAAGAGGTTTGTTTATGTTACACAGTAGATTGTCGGAGATATCTTGGGATTTCATTACTGTTGATAGTACCAGCGGTGAACAAAAGTTTAACCACTTCATGGATATTCTTCAAGAAGCCTATACAAACTCTTTTCCAAAGAAAACTTATGTGGTAAGATCCGACCAGGGCAATAATATTTCCTGGTTTAATACCGAACTAAGGGCAATGAGGGAACATTTGAGGTTTTTGAGAGAGCTGAAAGGGCAGTATGGTTTTGTGAGTGACCAGTATTATAAAAACTACAAAAATCTATATAGAAATAAAATAAGAAAAGCTAAGATAAATGCTAATGACAACCTTGTAAAGAGCTCAAGTAATCCTGCTAAAACCGTGTGGGATATCATTAACAAAAAAAGGGGTAAGAGTAATAAGTGCCCTGGGAGCAGTGACCTGTCACCTGATGACTTTAATAATTTTTTTGGTAACATAGCAGGTAATATAGTAAATCACATCCCTGATGTACATTTAGATCCTGTTAATAATATTGATTTCCTGGTACCGCCACCTCTGTTTTCTTTTTCTGAAGTCACATTTAACGAGGTTCGCGATGTAATAGATAATCTCAAAAATAAAAACAGTAAAGATATTTTTGGTTTCTACACGACTGATTAATATTTGTCTTAGAGAAAATATTTTTCCAACTGTTCTAAAGAGAGCTAGTGTCACACCTATTTTTAAGAACGGTAATGTTGATTCACCAGAGAACTACAGACCTATATCCCTTCTTCCAGTTATCTCTAAGATCTTTGAAAAATGTATGGCTTTGAGACTGGTAACCTTTTTTGAGGCAAATGAATTGTTTTCACAATATCAGTTTGGTTTTCGCCAGGGTAAGAGCACTGTTATGGGTGTACTTAACCTGATTTCTTCTATAATTGATGCTTTCCATGGAGGAGGGTATAACACGGTTCTTTTCTGCGATCTTAGTAAGGCATTTGATTGTGTGAGCCATGACATCCTTTTAAAAAAGCTCCTTGCTTACAACTTTAGTTATGATTCCATTAAACTAATTGAGTCTTACCTTAGTAATAGAACTCAGGTGGTGAGATGTGATGGAGTGACATCAGCGGAGCGAAGTGTTAATATTGGCGTCCCACAGGGCTCCATCTTGGGCCCAATTCTATTTTTAATTTACATAAATGATTTACCTCTCAATAACAATATGGCAAACTTTACTCTCTTCGCGGATGATACGACCGTCTCTCACACCGCTAATAGTTTTGAGCGCTCAATGGCACAGTCTCTGGCTGCGCAGGATGAGGCTGAGCTGTGGTTTTGCTCCAATAAGCTGTTGCTAAATAAAGATAAGACAAAGAGAATGGTGTTCTCCAT